TATTGTATCGAACTGTTTAGGTTTTCTATATTTCTTCTCTTTAAACCTTTTTCCAAACAAAGTGTCACTGACAAGCTATTGGATTCTTCTTTTAGGCTCCCTGATAGAAAAATTCGTTGAACACAGTGACATTTTGCGGCAAATCATCTGATTTGTACTACTAAACATATTGAAATAATACTAATATTTCTGTATTGTAGAAACGAGCAGAGCAAATTCCAAATAATCAAGTGAAATGAATTTTTTGATTGAAATGCTGAGATCTCTCACCCATTTCAATTTGTACCTCAAAACCTGAATCACCCTTTATAGTGGTTGTCCTCCCGCTCTGCTTCCGTCATTACGTCATTCTTCGAGTTTTTGGCAAACATCATCACCTTCAATCGGTTCTCCATTTTGAATGCGGCCCGATGGCGGCGAAATCCTCGAGAAGTGAATCCGAACAATGAAAAGATTGATTACGCCGTGTAAGCAAACTGGCTGACCTGGCACGAATGAATATGCCCGGCCACTTGACGTTCCAACGCCATTGTGTCTTCTCTAATCGAAACAGCTCATGAGTGTTGGGGCTCGTGTAATCTAGGTCGACAAGTTTTTGGGCACTATTGCATAATATACCAAAACATTTTTTCTGATGCCAATGGTATTGAATTAGTACGAAGGCGCTGAACGGAAAAAAGTTTTCATTCTTTAAGATTATAATACTATAAATAACATCGTTTACCACTGGTGTGTTTCCTTCTCGCTTACAATCTGCGAAAGTGTTACCACTCCACAAAGGAGGTGCCATTGATGACCCTAGTAATTACAGACCGATCTCAATTCTATCAACGTTATCAAAAATCATCGAAAAACTAGTCAAACGCAGGATGGTGGGCTTTTTGGAAAAGCACAAGATTTTAACTCCCGTACAATTTGGTTTCCAATATGATAAAAATACGACAGATGCCATTTTTAATTTACTTGAAAACATTTACACAACTCTAAACGACAAGGAAGTGGCTGCGGCAGTATTTCTGGACTTTTCTAAGGCGTTTGATTGTGTGTGTCATGAGATCCTCTTGCAGAAACTTTTCCATTTGGATTTCGGGGAACAACATTAGAATGGTTCAGATCTTATCTCACTGGTAGAAGCCAAAAAATATCTCTGAACAATAATACTTCCGAAAGTGGAAAAATAGTAAACGGAGTTCCTCAAGGGTCAGTCTTGGGCCCAATTTTATTCTTGCTGTATGTTAACGATCTGGCTAAATTGTATATATCTGGAACATTCACCTTATTTGCGGATGACACCACGGTATTTTGGCGTAATGGAGATCCGGCCATTTTGACTCGAACTATACACTCTGATTTAGAAAAAAAAAAAAAAAATGGTGTGAATCGAATATGTTGTCGCTGAATTTTTCTAAAACAAATCTGGTCACATTTAAGTGGGATTTGGATCAGATAACTTTAGGTTGTCAGACGGTTGAAAGTAAGCTTGTAACGAAATTCCTCGGTATATTTATTGATAGTAATTTAAAGTTTGACACACAAATTAATGCACTGAAAAAGAAATTGTCTTCTGGTTGCTTTGCCGTGAATGTCATATCTCTTGAACTCGGATTTTCAGCTTCAATGACCGCATACTATTCACTCATGGAGAGTCATCTTAGGTATGGAATTCCATTTTGGGGATCTGCCTGCCAGGTTTTATTGCAAAGTATATTCGTCATTCAAAAATGAGCTATGAGAATAATATTCAAAAAGAGGATTCGCGACTCGTGTAGGCCAATTTTCTGCAAATATAAAATACCAACAATATTCGAAATTTTTATTATAGAGACTGTTTGCTTGCTCCACAAACATAAAGAAAAGTTCTTGAATCGAGCAGAAAGGCATACACGAAAGGAGATGATACTTGTCCTTCCACTCCCCACATCAACTTTGACCAAGCATTCTCAAATCTATAGAAGTAGACAGATATATAATCATTTACCGAAACAAATAACAGCAATCAATGATCAGAAGCAATTTAGGAAATCGGTAAAAAACCTTGTGATGGGAAAGTGCTTTTATAGTTTGGAAGAGTATTTTGCATATAATTTCTAGTCTTTCTATATAAATGTTACTATCTACATCAAGATTTCAATAAACTGTAGTTGTGAAAGCACGTGTGTACCGTACCGTATTATACCCTTTGTGTAAATATTTTTTTAGTCTTGTTTCTTTTACAATAGTTTGTTTTTTATATATATGTTATACCTTTGTCGACGAAATGTAATACATTTTAGACAATAAAGATTATTCTCTCTCTCTCTCTAATTGCGAAAATATTCTATCACTCAAACTAATTGCTATTTATTTGGCAATGAGTAGAATTGATAGATTCATCTCTGGCAATTCCCTCAATTGCTATTTATCTTGCAGTTAGAACCTAATTGACAGATTACCTGGATATCAGAGCCAAATTGCAAGTTTTATCTGATAATTAGTGCATAATCGATAGATTTATCTGTGAATTACCCTAATATCTTGATTCGTTTTCTAGATTCATCGGGCATTTGGGCCCTAATTGCAAGATTTTTCTGACAGTTAAGGCATAATCAACATATTTAACTGTCAATTAGGGCATACTCCACAAATTTATCTGGCAATTGCAAGATTTTTCTGAAAATCGGGACATAATCAACATCTGGCAATTGGGGCATAATTCACATATTCATCTGGCAACTTATTGCTAGATATATCTTACAGTTATTGCATAATTAACAAATTTATCTGGCTATTATTCTAATTGCAAGATGTTTCTGGTTATCAGGGCATAATCAACATACTAATCTGGAAATTACATACCTCATTCTTCGAAAAGATCATCACCATCGAAACCCTGGTTCAACAAAAACTGTTCTAGAACTGTTGCCTTAAAACAGCCTACTATCGCTGGCGCAAAAACCCTAACCTCGCAACTAGAGCTGAATACGTTGATGCCAGGAATAACTGCAGCCAAACAATAGATGCTTCTAAAGAAACATACAATGCCAAGATAAGATCGAAACTCATGGATTGTTCCAATGGCTACGTTCGTTTTGGTCCCTTGCTAAAGCGGTCGGAAGAAATTTCACTAATAGTTCATTTCCACCACTGTCCAAATCCGACGGCACATCAGCAACAACATCACGGGAGAAAGCAAATATTTTTACTCTACTTTAGATTCCCAAGGAAAAGTGCCGCCAGACATTCCACCGGTTGAGAGTCGAATGCCCGAAATCGTCTTCCGTCAACGCACTATCAGACGAATTTTGCTTGGTCTCAAAACGAATAAAGCTAACGGTCCTGACGGAATTCCACCCATCATCCTCAAAAAATGTGCACCAGAATTAACACCGATTCTCTGCAAGTTGTTTACCATCTCGTACAGGTCGGGTATTTTTCCATCATGCTGGAAGACAGCTAGAGTCCAACCAATCCCCAAAAAAGGAAACAAGAACCTGCCCAACGACTACAGGCCCATTGCCCTGTTATCAGTAATCTCCAAAGTGATGGAGAAAGCCATCAACATTGAGCTTATCAAATATCTGGAGAGCTCAGGAATCATCAATGATAGACAATACGGCTTTCGCCACCGAAGATCTACTGGAGATCTACTTGCCTACGTCACCCATTCATGGCAAGCTTTATTAGATAAACACGGAGAATCTCTAGCTGTCGCGTTGGACATATCGAAAGCATTTGACCGTGTTTGGCCGTCACGAAGGACTCCTCCATAAACTACCATCATACGGCTTACCATCTCAGCTATGCCATCTCTTATCGAGGTTTCTTTCAGGCAGATCGCTTCATGTAGTGGTGGACGGTGTATCGTCTGATACCATTGCCATCAATTCCGGCGTTCCACAAGGATCAATTTTGGCACCAACATTATTCCTTCTTCATATCAATGATCTGTTGGGAGTAACAACTTGCGCCATCCACAGCTTTGCAGATTATAGTACCCTCCATACTGCGTTCTCTTCTAGAATTCCCATTTCTTCCCAGGAAACTGAGAACTCACGGCGCAGGCAGGTCAATGCTTTCAATGAAGACCTTGCTGAAATCACAGCCTGGGGAACCAACAACCTGGTTGAATTCAACGCCACCAAAACTCAAGCCTGTATTTTCTCTAGAAAGGCGGAACTCAGTATGCCCGACATTGTAATGTCTGGCACCACCATCTCCACCAAGCCCACCATCTCCACCAAGCCCACCATATCTATGCTCGGTATTTCCATCAGCAACACTCTTTCATGGGATAATCATGTCAGATCCATCGCAAAAGCTGCTTCACAAAAACTCGGATTCTTGTTCCGTGCGAAAAGCTACTTTACACCTCAATAGCTTCTCATGATCTACAAAGCGCAGATACGGCCTGATATAGAATACTGTTCCCACATATGGGGTTCAGCACCAAAACATACGCTGATGCTCTCAGATTCCATCCAGAGAAGAGCCATTCGCCTGGTGGGTGACGCCACACTCACTCACTCTTCGACATCATTGGAACACCGTAGAAAGGTCGGCGACCTTTCACTTTTCTATCGATACTTCCACGGGAAATGTGCTTCGGAAATCTCTGCTAACAAGCCCAGTCGACACCTCTCTAAGTGGGACTATTAAACCACTTAGAGATATCCATGTGTTGCAATAGTCTGCAGAGCTGTGACATTTTCTCTCTCTGTACCGCATACGTACGGGTCAGCAATCGACTTTTTTGCGAGAAATGGTAGTTAATGATACACGTATACACCTGTGCAATTTTGCCACTAGATGGTGTATGGATCACCCTATACATGGAAGTTTGAGTATGATAGAGATGTCAATGTTATGAATGTTAATGTCACTTATAGGAAATAAAGAGAGTTATAATATTAAACCAAACATGGCGCAGTCGTAGGTTTAGTACTACAAGATACTGAATACGTAACGTATCTTGATTACTTGAAATAACTCTATAAGAATTTCCATTAATATTTGTGAAAATCATGCCAAGGAAATCCAAAAGAACCAGCAAGATCGATGAAGGCGAAGCGACGGAAGATCTGATCAATACCAGATTGATTCCCCTTGAGAGTACACTATCGGCAACACAGGAAAACATCAGATTATTGGAGAAGAATACCAACGATTCATTTTTTCGAATGGAGGATCAGTTCAAGAAGCAATTCTCAACTCTTCAGAATCTGTTGGAGAAATTGATACCAGGTGATTCAGATGAGCGATTCCCAGAGTCAGTAGTACAAGATGACAATAATGGTGAAGTTTTCACGGAAGGCAAACACAACTCGGCAAATTCGGATATCAGTGCGCAGTCAAATCGTAATACTCCCAATGGTATTCGTCTATCAAGTGCGATTCCAGGACCAGAGAAAATTACTGAATCTCTGACATATTCACAATTCAAAGACTGGAGACGAAAATTCGAAAACTATGTGGAATTTCAAGACCTAAAACATGCCTCTGGAAAGCAACAAGTTGCATTATTAGAATCTTTCTTTAGCCAAGATATATCTGACATAGTAAGGTTAGTTCTGAAGTTTGATGATAAAACTATGATAAATATGACAGAGATTCTCGATAAGCTCGAAGAATATTTCAAGAGGAAAGAAAATGGCCGATTGAGGCGTAGTCTTTTCATGTCCCGAAAACAAGAGCAAGGAGAGTCATTTATGTCATTTTACAGAGAAAAGGTGAAGCTTCTACAGTTGGCTGAACCTTGTTCATACTGTTATGATCGGTGCTTGGCTGATCACATAATAGAGTCCTTATTTGACTCTGAAATCAGAAGAAAATGCAGGAAACTACCAGACACAGCTGGCGTTGAGGAAATTGTGAAGTTGTGTGAAGCTGAAGAAGCTGCTATGAAAGAAGAAGACACCTTCAATAGTAAAATATCTAGTATAAAATACGTCAACTCAAGAACTAAAAATTATCATAACAAAGATTGCCCGAGATGTAATACTCAGTGGCATAAAAGCCTGCGAGATTGTCCTGCGATAAACAGTAAATGTGAAAAATGTCATAAAAAAGGTCATTATACCAAATGCTGTTTCAAAAAAGACGTAAGCGTTATCGAGTGTTCAACCGAACAAATCGATTCAGTGCATGTTGATCGTATAACTATAAATAATATTTTGGAGAAAGCTAATGGGCGACAGATTCATGTGAAAGTTAAATCACATAAAAACCCTAGAACAGTTATTCTTCATAAAGCCACCCCTGACACAGGTGCCGAAGTATGCGTAGCGGGTGAAGATTTCATGCGTACACTAGCGTACTCACCCAAAGAGTTGAAACAAAATCATGTTCACTTGAAATCTGCCGACCATTCCAAACTTCATGTCTTAGGATATATAGAATGTGCAGTAGAGTATGAAAAAATGATCACGAACGTTCTTGTTTATATTTGTACCGGCGTTGAAGAACTACTTCTGGATAGAAATTCTCTAAGAGAACTGGGAATTATTCATAAAAATTTCCCGAAACCTCTTCCCGAGTTCTTAACTGTGCAAAGAATATCTCTAGATAATATTACTGATAATCCGTCAGAAGAGGAATGTGACAGTATACGTAATCTTCTCCTGGAAAGATATAAGGACGTTTTCAGTATGGAAGAAGCATTGAAACCTATGGATGGCAAGCCAGTGCATATTCATATGAAGGATAATGTTGTTCCTTATGCAATCACATGTCCTAGAAGAATTCCATTCGCTTGGAGGGAGCAAGTGAAGATGGAACTAGACTCTATGGTGCAAAAAGGAATTATCAAAACTGTAGACGATATACCAGCTGATTTCGTGAGCCCTCTTGTTATTATTCAAAAGCCGAATGGAAAAATCAGAATTTGCGTTGATTTCACGAAATTGAACTGCTTTGTGAGAAGACCAGTACATCCATTCAAGTCTCCGTGGGAATCTGTATCTAATATCAACCTGAATTCACGCTATTTCTCAACTTTGGATGCTACATGCGGTTATTGGCAATTGGAGTTGGATGAAGATAGTCAAAAACTCACAACATTTCTCACTCCATGGGGTCGGTATCTGTTTCTGCGTGCACCTATGGGTCTTGTTAGTTCAGGTGACGAATTCTGTAGGAGAGGAGATGAAGCCTTGGCTGGAATTGCCAATATGGAGAAAGTGGTAGATGATGTTCTGTTACACAATGACACATTCCCCAATCACTATAACCAAGTTATCAAATTCTTGAATCGGTGTAGAGAAAAGCAAATTACACTGAATCCAAATAAATTCGTGTTTGCTAAATCAGAGGTAGATTATGTAGGATACAAAGTAGGGCGACAGGGGATTGAAGCTGATCCAAAGAAGATTGAAGCTATCCAGAATTATCCAAAGCCTGGTAATCTGACAGAACTTCGATCATTTATGGGATTAGTAAACCAATTAGGAAGTTTTTCATCTGAAATTAGTACAGTAGCTGCACCCTTGAGAGACCTGCTAAAGAGCAAGAACAAATATTTATGGTCGTCAACTCATGATGCAGCATTTGATAATATTCGAGAAAAATTAGTCACACCTCCCATATTAGCTCATTTTGATCCATCATTGCCAACATCCTTACATGCAGATGCATCTCGTCTACATGGTATTGGATACGCTCTCCTACAGAAACATGGTCACATTTGGAAGTTGGTTCAGTGTGGATCTAGATTTCTCTCAGACACAGAAACACGATACGCTATGATAGAAATTGAGCTACTAGGCATTGTTTGGTCAGTATGCAAGTGCAGACTTTACTTATTAGGCCTAGATTCTTTCAAAATCATTACCGATCATAAACCATTGCTACCAATTCTGAATTCATATACATTGGACGAGGTAGAAAACCCAAGAATTCAGCGACTGAAAGAGAAACTATCAGGATTTAACTTTATAGTTGAATGGAAAAGCGGGAAGGAACATATGATTCCTGATGCACTCTCACGTTCGCCGGTTGCAAATGCTCAAGACAACGATTTATTAGCAGAAGATGCTACAGTTCATTTGAATTCATTCATCGTACATCAAATTTCTCTAGTGGACAATACAGAAGAAATGTTGAGAACTTCTCACCTTCAAGATCCGTTATTTGAAATTCTCAAAGAGAAATCAAGAAATGATGAAACGTATCAAAGGTTGGTTAAAATGATAGAGAAGGGGTTTCCTAATTCGAAACAGGATCTTGATGTTGCTTTGAAGCCATATTGGAATGTGCGAGATGAATTGAGCTGTGAAAATGAATTAGTACTCAAAGGATGTCAGATTGTCATCCCTATGTCAGCTAGGAAAATGGTGTTGGACAGATTACATGATTCACACCAAGGCATTGAAAGAACGAAGAGACGAGCTCGTCAAGTAGTGTATTGGCCTGCTATGACAAGCGATATTCAGAATATCGTAGAAAATTGCGAACACTGTCAATTAATCCGTCCTTCTCTGCCAAAAGAACTATATATGTGTGATCCACCACCTACCCTTCCATTTCAAGATGTATCCGCGGATTTATTCTCTTGTGCAGGAAAGAAATATATGGTGTACATTGACAGATTATCGGGATGGCCAATAGTTTGCCCGTACGGAAATCAAGATCCAACTAGTTTGAAACTGATAAAAGATCTAAGAAAAATATTTTCTGATACTAGTGTTCCTCTGAGATTCCGATCTGATAATGGTCCACAGTTCACTTCGCAAGAATTTCTTGCATTTTTATTGAAATGGAATGTGGCCCGTTGTACATCCACACCATATTACCCACAAAGTAATGGGCATGCAGAGGCTGGAGTTAAAGCAATGAAGACACTCATCATGAAATGCATGAATGGTAGCAGTTTGGACGAAGAAAAATTTTATGCAGGTCTACTGGAATATAGGAATACTCCAAAATCGAATAATCGTTCTCCAGCCCAGGTTTTATTTGGCCACCCTATTCGCTCTTTGGTCCCAGCACATCATAAGGCATTTTCCAAAGAATGGCAAATTGCTGTAGATGCATGTGAAAAGAAATCTGCAGAGGAACATGTCAAAGTTATTGGACATTATAATCGGAATGCCAAAGATTTGATGGCAATCCCGATTGGATCTAGAGTTAGAATTCAGGACCCGAAAACTAAGTTGTGGGATAATGTCGGTGTAGTAGTTGAAGTAGGCAGTCACAGGAATTATTTAATTAAAACTTCAAGTGGCCGTTGCTATTCAAGGAATAGAAGATTCCTCCGGTTCATTCCAGGAAGGAATATTCTAAGAGGGGACAGGCAGATGGAAGAGTGAAAAGGGGAGATGTATGGATCACCCTATACATGGAAGTTTGAGTATGATAGAGATGTCAATGTTATGAATGTTAATGTCACTTATAGGAAATAAAGAGAGTTATAATATTAAACCAAACAGATGGCTTCGAACTCTAGATCGTTTTTCCCTCTCCATTTCTCTGTAATTTATATTGGATTCGAGTGTAACTGATGGGTTTCGGCAAACCGAAACAGCATGTCTTGCATCAGCAGACAATCGATTCAGGAACAAGCCCTAGAATCTCTTGATCCTGGTATTCTACTGTTATTTTAACATTCAACTGTTTTCACAGAATTCCAAGAAACACTATCCATTACCGTAAATATTACCGAGTCATAAGTCAAAACGAACGATGACTGTACAAAATAATTCAATTGTAAGTGATCGCAAATTTATTGCCATCGTATACAGCTACATCTTTGAGAAACTGCCTCTACCAATGCCTCTCGGCATCGTGCCAAATCGATACGATATATTAATTCATTTTCTTTCTCGTTTTGTTGCAGAAACGAAACAAGAACTGGAAGACCTCATGGCTGACATCAAGAAAACTGCCAATAAAGTCCGTGCCAAGCTAAAGGGTGAGTATAATCTTCAGGGCCGGATTAACCACAGGGCACGAGGGGCAGCTGCCCAGGGGCGAATTCAGAATTGGGGGCGAAAATTTCGACAATAAGTATCATATGCAAAAGACAAAAGGATTTCTCAGTGATCAAGCATTGTATTCCTTTGACGGTATCATTGATTATAGGAATAATATAAAAAATAAACAAAATTTTTGTATTCTGTATCTCTACTTTGTACAGGGTGGGTCAAATTGGACACTTTTAACTGATGTTACTATTTCTGTACCAGATGGAGAAAAACTGGTGTTGGTGCCTGTTGATCAATTCACAAGCCAAACTCTATGGTGAAAACTACATATCGATATCTATCTTCGTTTCAGAGTTACAAGGTGTTTTTCGAAAATATGAATTTTCGAAAAGTGGCTGAAACTCATTTTTTGGTGAAAATTCTTCGTTTCCCTGAAAACAGTTCCAAAAGCATTGTGTTTGTCATGAA